AAAAAAAAAAAAAAAAAAAAAAAAAAAAAAAAGCACGTGTAGTGAGGTTCAAGTACCGAAATACATTTAAACTGCCTGCCAAATTTCCTTTTATTAAAAAGTACAATAGATAAGCCTTTCTATCTTGACTATGGCAATGTTTTATTTAGGCCCTAATGGTTTTCCTTAGAATAAACAAGATTCTAAACTATAAATCTCTCTAAAGATCTTCCTATGGACAGATGTGATTGAGACAAATTTCAGTTTCTATGCATGATCTCATTTATTCCTTCATTGCTAAACAGCAATCCTAAAACCCTAGGATAATAAAAAAGAGACTTCAAATAGTTTAGTTTAGCCTAACAATGTTGATATGGAATTAAGTTCACTAAAATAGGAATCTGTTTGTATACACAATAATAGGTACTCAGGTTGAGGATCACCTCTGTCATATGAATAAAAATATAAAATTAATCTCTTACCAAGGAAGGTGAAACAGCTGGCAAAAGGAGAATCACTACTGGATTGGCTTTTACTCTATTTAGATACATATAACACAAAGCATAGATACCTTCATGGTTGTTCATGTGTCTCCTATACTCTCTTAGCTGAGTGAATTTTCTTCCACATTTCTCACACACCCGTTCCAGGTTTTGCTTTGCTCTTCCTTTTTTCCCATGGGTAGCTTTCTTTACATGCCTTCTGAACAAAGCTTTTTCATAAAATTCTTTGCCACATATATTACACCTAAAATAGGGGAAAAGACCAAATTATTTTGTCCAAAGCAGCAGCAGCCATAACAATCAGAGAACATACACGTAACAAGTTCAGCTCCTTCTCAAATTTACCCACCTATAAGGCTCAGTGACAGAATGAGACTTCACATGGGAATACCAATCTTTCTTCCAACTATAGCACTTGTCACAAAATTGGCACTGGAATGGCTTCACACCAAGATGTTTGTTCATGTGCTGGCGAAGATCTCTAGCTTCAAAGAAACTTTTTTCACATCTGCAATAAAATTCAGTTACCCAATTGTATAATCTTATTCCTTTAAAACAAATTTCCAAGAACTCAGTAACTATTTTTAGTTTTTTAGAACTCCAAAAGATGATCTCAACCTAAAAGAATTCCCTAATTTTCCAATCTTTCATAAAGGCTACAGGGTTTTAGGTTCTTTTTATTGTAAGACCACTAGAAATGTTTTAGAAAGAATCGTGCATGTTCTCAACAGTTATTACAGAGGAAATTTATTATTCTTTCTCTCCCCTAAGTGACCCCACTTTGAGATCCCTATTCAACCCTCTAATTCTCAGTCCATGTGTTGAGGGTAGGCTTTACCTTTGACCCTAGGGAGACAGCAATGACTTGGGCCTAAGTCAATCACAGCACAGAATTCTCTTACAGTGATTGACTCAGGGTTGACGGATTTAACTTGATGTAACTGGGTAACCCTCAGGGCTTTGATGGAACTACCAGAGACAAAGTTTGACAATTTGGGATTTGAGAGGATGTGAAGCTGAAACTACTGCCACTGCCACTGCCACTGTCCTTTGAGGATGTGAGACTGAAACCACTGCCATCATCCATATGGTGCCTCTGAGAAAACAAGTGCTAATGAATTTGAATACAGTTTACATTAAACTACTCGGACTCCTAGACTTTACACTTAATTCAAGCCTGTTTTGGTTGGGTGTTCTTTCACTTACAACTGAAACTGTATTGATGACAAACTATCTTTGTTTCAAAATAAGACTAATTAAGAGTAACATCAACAAATATGGCAAGTAGGAAACTCCAAAAGCCCATCTCTCCGTAAAAGCAGAGGATAAATCGGCAAACTGTCAGAATCAACCTTACCAGGAGTTCTAGACACTAATTAAAAGCTTATACTGACCAGGCAAATGTTTAATAAAGAAAAAAAATTGGCCGGGCGCGGTGGCTCAAGCCTGTAATCCCAGCACTGTGGGAGGCCGAGGCGGGTGGATCACGAGGTCAAGAGATCGAGACCATCC